GCCCCCCCCCCTCCCCTCCTGAAAAAATCGCCACTGCTCGATGAATATCCAGTAATTTCTAGTTGGATCTTTCAGTCACGACGATCAGAACTATTTGTTTCTAAGCTCCATTGATTGTGCGGAGATAAAGGTTTTTTTGAGATGCAAAGAGTATCCCGGAGAGAATAAAGTTTTACTTAATTCTATATTTCTGATTGAGAGCGATACCTGAATTTTGTTTTAGGTCAGACTCATTGCGCTTTTACGGATTGCAAGTTTTTGCTTGAGCAAATTCCTTTCAAAAATCACAGATGCGAGTAACTTCATATTAGTGGGCTTTTTGGACATTCGCGACTATCTGAAACAGTCTTGAAATTCAAGACTGGCATTCTTTGTCGGTAGCGAATCTCACATGTTGTAATCATCTGATTTCCTATTACATGGACTTGAAAGAAGAAAGAACTGTGTCGCTGTGCATAACTGAGTATTTTGCTTTGTAAATATTATCTAAGCTTTTATTTCAGAAGATCAAGAAAGATGAAGTGTCAAAGTTTGCTCTTTTGAACAAGAAAACTTTGGGTCTGCTACAAATCACGGTTAGTTTTGCATTCGTTGCTTTCGAATGCTTGTTAGAGAATTGCTTTCAGGATAAAACGCCGGTCAAAGACAGATGTATTTTCAAGTTAGCATGTGAGCCTCCAATGGTCAAAGCCATAGAGTCATTCAGGTAATTCCGTTTTGTTCCTCTTTTCAAGATGAACAGTTTGATTCTAGATCCCGCTATCCGTCTTGGGAAGTGACAACGGCATTTCTATTGCAAAGATTAGGCTTACAGTATAACTCTGCGAAAGATGGAAAATGGCCCCTGGCAGGTAGTGAAGGGGAGGAGAGCGACGTTAGCAAGAGTGATTCCGAAGAAAGCGAGAAGGAAACTCCTTTAAAAGCACTTCCGAAAACACAACCGAAAAAAGATTTAACAAAAGACTCTCTCTTTGAAATGCCAAGCAGAGCAGGACCTACAAAGCAGCTAAAAAGGAAAAAAGCTCCAAGAGAAGTAGGAGATGGATTTGAGCATACGAAAGAAGATGAAGGTGATGCGAAAAAACCTGCCAGTGACAAGGACTACGAACAGATGGTGGAAAGCAGTAGCGAAAAAGTGAGTGTTTTGCCCTCTTTAGCATCATCCGAGAATCGTTGCCTTTGCAGTCATCGCCAGTCAAGGCAAAAGCTTTGAAGAAAAGAAAGTCTCTTCCCTCTCAGTCATCCGCAGCTGAAACAACGGTGGTGAGGAAGAAGAAGGAGAAGAGGAAGTCTCTTCCTCTGAAATCTTCGGCCGACAAGCCAACGGTCTTGAAGAAAAAGAAGTCTATAATAGGAACACACTCGGAAGCAAAATCTGGAGAAGCCTCCACAACAGCACCCGAGCCACATAAACTGGTTAGCTAATTTTAATTGTTTTTTTGCTAGTAGCTTCTTCTTTTTCAAGAATTGAGGGGATAAAACGCTTCGACGACCTTTAGATGTCTTACAGAATGTTTTCTGTCTGGAGTTTCTAACCTAATATTTGTAGGCTGTAGTGAAGAAAATAAACCTTGGTGGAACAGGCGAAATCAAATTGGATAAACATCCAGCTCCCCCACTTCAACAGCAGAATCACGCGACTGAAAATACTGGACAAGACAGTTTCTTCATGCCAGTTTCCGCATCCACATGTAATAGTATGTGGTATATTGTCTTCTTTGAAGGCAGTGGATCGGGAAAATCGCGACCGCGGGATTTCCA